TCTCTCTCTCTCTCTCTCTCTCTCTCTCTCTCTCTCTATCTATCTATCTATCTATCTATCTATCTATCTATCTCTATCTATCTATCTATCTATCTATCTATGTATCTATCTCCACATACAGACATGAGCTGCTTCAGTTCTTGGCACTCTGTAAGTGGGTCCTGCTCTTCGAGCAGATACTCGAGGATCCCTGCATCCAAGGCATCATTTATAAGATAAGAAGAACAGTGGTCTCTTGTTGCAAGTGTAAATATGCACTGTGCTCTGTATCTGCCACCCATCCACACGCTACTGCCTGCCTTCTCTCTACTTTCAGCACAACATCTGGAGTACAATACAGGTATTACTCCTTTATTGTGTGTTCCACCCAGAGCATCATCTACATATCCTTTAACAAGCTGACGATGCCTCTAGGACCCTTGCCTGCACTGCCTCCTCCGCACCAGGCCTGCACTGCCTCCTCCGCACCAGTTCGTCTGCACAGACTCCTCCATACCAGTTTGCCTGCAGAGACTCTGTCCTACACCTGCTAAGTGTTAATTTCCTAGTACTAGCGATGCTACTTCGTGCGCCGCCTCCTTCCTCCTACTGCTACTCAACTCGACAAGCGGCCCCGTGCACTCTCTGTTTCTTTCTCAGCTCCTGTGGCATGAAGCCTGGCATGGTTCTTTTCCCCTTTTTGCGGCTGAACTTCTCAGGATCCTCAGATTTCCTTAGCCTGTGCATGTGTTTGCCGGGAGCTGTCGTTCTCAGCCACTCCTGGCCACCGTCAATGTCTTCCTGGATGTCATCCATCTCATCCTCCACGTCTTCATCTCTCGTGTTCACCAATGGTGCCACAGTGATGTCACCACCACAACCCTCCCACATAAGTTCTCTTCCCACTAATGATTTTTCGATCATTTCACAAAACTCCACTTCGCCATGACTCATCCCCATACATCCTGTCCTTACCATCGTGTGGTCGTCTGGGTACGAGTTCGCCAAGAGGAGAGTGTGCGTCTTTGCTGCCTCTCCCGCAGGCTCATTCTGAACCGGGGCTGCAGGTTCAACAGCTTCGGCGCCTCCGCCGGCAGAGGGGTGGGCCCAGCGGAACAAAGATACCAGAGACCAACGAAACCTTGCCAGCTGACCACCAAATCTTGTCGGCGCTTCTGTTCTCGTGGACCTTGTTTCGTGTTCGGCAGCACTTGTGCAGAGTTCATTGTGACGAGTGGAGGAGTCGATCTGCATGCTATTGCCTCTTTCCAAACAGCAATCAGAGGGAGGAGCAACACATAAAGCCTTGCTGCCAAGCTCACTGTGACAAGATGCTGCTGCTGTCATATTCAGTCCACTGCTGCTTAAACTGCAAGGGTTTTGAACAACAGATGTTGTTCTCTTCCCTGCACTGCTGCTTTTGTTACAAGGCTTATGACCAGATGATTCCGTGACCCTCCCGCACAGCCTAGCCTGACAAGGGAAGAGTGTTTTCTGTCCACGACATCCATCTTCCGCAGAAAGACCGAAGCGGAGGACAGAATCCGGAGTCTTCCCTCTTTGCTTAGTCTGAGCAGGGACTGTGGCTTTCTCTGTGCTCCAGCTCTCAGCAGCGGTGAAGAAATGCACATTCCACCGGCAAAAGACAAGGTCGGACAGCTGATCTGGATTCAAGTCATTGTTCTGACGACTGTGTATCCGCCGGTATAAGCTCCGAAACCTTTCCGAGCTGCAGGCACTCGCTTGACCCAGCAATCTGACAGCTTGTGGTTGGAGTATTTTGAGAGCTTTCCCATACTTCTCCCACCACCTTGCGGGTAATAACTCCTGGGCATCCACGATTGCCAATTGGCTGCCTAAAGCTCCCTCCTGCTGCAGCCACATCTCTACCTCCTGTTTCACTTCTCCATACTGCTCTTGCTTGCACCAGGACCACAACCACTTTTCAAAACCTTTTTGAACCTCCTCAAATTCACAGGCAGCGCTTGTATGAAATTCCGGATCTAAGAACTGCGCTGCGCAATGCAGGGGGCTCATCATTCTGTGCCATCGTCTCATGATGACATCCCGCACCATCTGTTTGAAAGGCAGAGCCAGTAGGTTGTTTCTCCACAGTTCATGGACGACAGAGTCCATCTTCTGGTACACTTTGCTCAAAGAGGGGCTGCCTTCATCCACAAACTGAAGGACCCCCATTAACTGCTCCACAACTGATAAGACCTGCATAACTGGAGACCAGTACCCAGACTCATCACAGACACGGGCAGTGACCGTCTGAAAATGCTCATCATCTGAGACTCCCATCTCCAACACTGTTTTTACCATAGCTTCCCGAAGCATCACCTGAGAGTGCAACATCAGGAAAGTCGATGACGGGCGGGTTCTGGTGGGTAGCACAAGCTTTCGACCTCCTGAATGCAAACTGAAAAGCTCAGAGACACGCTCATGGTTCATAAAAAGGTAGGCCACCTCTTGTGCATCGTGCACAGAAGAAAAGCTGCAGATGTCGTGCAGCATAAGGCAGATGGCATGCGCAGTGCATCCCACGCTAAAGATCCCGGGGTACTCTTCCGCAATCACAGCACCGACAGATCTAAACACTCGTGCATTCTCGAACAAAATCCCGACAACATTGCCCCTGCCAACGAACTCAATCGCATCCCGCAAAATATTTTTGTAAGCCTCAGGCTGCCGTTCCTCCCCGGTCATACCAACCGTATTTAAGAACACACACCCGTTCGGGGAAGACACCATAACATTCCTGAAAGGATGACCTTGCTCATCTGTCCAACGGTGAAGCTCAATCATGCAACCAGTAGATGCCCACTGCTGCCTGACCTGCTCGAGTTCTGCACGCAACCGCTCCATCTGGAACCTCAACCTTGAATCGCGAGCGAACTCAGATGAGCAGGGAGTCCAAGATGTAGGAGCTCGACGGACTGCATCCACAAGCATCTTGAAGGGCGGCGAGTCGAGAATTTCAAATGGCAAGCACTCAGCCGTGAGGAAGTAGTCAACTGCCCTGTGAGCAGATTCACAACGAGCGATCACACTAGATGCAGGGGCCGCATGGCTTCTCCGCGATGACATCGTCACCGAGCTTTTAATAAATTTTCTCTCCGCAGGTTCACAACCACCAGTGCCGACAGCACCTGGCCATGTCCTTAGCGGGTTATCTGCAGGCTGCCCTCGAGGTGTGCTATCTTCAATGCACATAGGAGCTTCCTCAGCGGACGGACGATTACCATTCGTGATGGCACAGTCTGCAGGCTTCGTCTTCGGTGGAATACCTACGGGCTTTCCTGCACGTGCGCTATGTTCCATATACGTTGTAGCGTCCTTAATTGGTGGATCATCATTACCACGTGCAACGGCAGGCTTTGCAGGGTTCTCCTCACCTGCACTAAGTTCAATACATGTAGCAGCTTCGTCTGCAGGTGGGCCATTAACCTCGTCGGTGGCGGGCTCTGCATGACTCATCCTTGGTGGGCTGCCTGTAGGTTCGCCTGCAGAGTTGCTATGCTCATCAAAGTTGCTATGCTCATTGGACATAGCAGCTTCCTTAGCAGTTGGATCATTCCCACTTGTCGTGCCCAGTTCTGCAGATCCTTCGGGGCCTGCAGGTGGCACACCTTCACTCGCAGACGAGGATGAGGGCTGGTCACTACGTGACTGTGGCACCTTGTCAGTTTTTGTCAAATCCTCGACTGTATCAACACCCTTTACGTCCAGAACAGCCTCTTTGTGCTTTTCCCAGCGCTGCTCCCACTCCTGTAGAGCAAGGTCACTAATATTATGCATCAAACACTTTGACAAAAAGTGGTTCCGCAAGGTAAAGCCGGCCCCTGTCATGGCCAGACCACAGTAGTTGCATGTCCACTTCTGACAACAACGCTTACCTGGTAGCTGCTTCGTTGGCGCTTCAGTGAAATGTCTTTTCATCCGGCGCATATCCCGAGACCTGGCATCCTCGACCACCCTGTCAAAGCCTTCCCAGCGCCGCCTCTTCTCCTCTTCATTCAAAGGAGCACTGCTGGTCAAGCACTTTGGCAAGAAGTGCTCAAGCAATACTTCAGCCGACCCTGTTATCTCTTTACTACAGTACTTGCATTTCCAGCGACTTTTCGATCTTGGGCGTGATGGCTTAAGGGCTTCAAAATGCCTGGTAATCTGGCAACTACTCTTACCTGACATTTTGACAATGAAAACACCAACTCCGTGCAGTACAACGCCAGGGACACAGGGAACTAGACCCCGATTTAAGCGGTAGAAGCCAGCAAAGCTCAATATGCGAAGCTGCCGAAGGGGGGTGGAGCAGATCTGTGCCAGAAATTGGCAAGGAAAAACAAGCGTTGGCATCAATCATCACCCGTTCACAGTGCTCTTTCCATCCCCCTACCCAACTGCCCAACTCGGGACGCCAATGGCCAAACTCTGCAGTAGAGAACAGCAAAGCCCACAATGCAAAGCTGCTGAAAGGAGGTACAGCAGACTTGTGGTCAGCAACTGGCAAGAACTGAACGTGTGTTTGCATGAATCATCGCCTGTTCAGTGCTCCTCCCTGCTTACACCCGAACCGCCTCACTCCCCTCTCTATCACAGCTGCAAAAACAAAACAGACACACATATTCGGAACCTCTCTCTGCCTATGGAAGTACGTCCCACTCCCTTGCACAACCTGCCCCTCTTCTGTCACACCAATCACGCTGGATTTGGATGCGGAATCAGGCCGGCATGAATGCTCTGGTGTGTGATGGTGCAGTCTGTTTCAATTTCCAAAATCACACACACACACACACACACACACACACACACACACACACACACACACAGAGAGAGAGAGAGAGAGAGAGAGAGAGAGAGAGGCCGGCAAAAAGGGAAAGAAACGAGTCAAGAGCCGTATTGGCAGCAAACAAAAGACTTAAGTCTTATGGAGATTCGGAAACTTGCGAGTTTACTCACTTGACGAATTCGAGGGGGAAGCTTGCTTCATAACGTTCTAACCACTACTATACACTGCACCGGGGCTTCCATGTCGACATAAAGGGAAGGAGTATAGATGCTATAATCGCCATAGAGCCTTGAAAACTCACCAACTACTGTGGTATCCTTCTACTCATAGGACTCCTTTTCATAACCTCGTGACTAACGCTGTCTCACTATTTCAATGTCCATAACAGCTGTTCTGCTGAAAAAACGCATATGGAACAACATTTACAAAGACGGCCCATCGGTGTAGTTCGTCTAGCATAGCGGGAGAGGAAGGAGGTCAGCTCTTCTGGTGCAAAGGGCTCCGCTCCACTACTGACCAAATGTGCAGATTGAGAATGAACCTTCCGCTAGCACATGAAAAGATGCACCACCATGCGTTTTTGGTTTTTGTGCATGTGGTGAGCAGCGCAGCGAGGCCCAATACCAGTGGCCGCAACACATTTGTTACGGTCTTCAAATGTTCCCCCCCCTCTTCTACTGCTCTACATTTCGCTGTTATGTCCGCGGTTTCCCTACTGCCTCTTCACTCTCCGGAAAGGCAAAAACACAAAAAAAAAGTGTTCCCATCCCGAAATGCACGAGGAGGAGGAGGAGGATGAGGAGCTGGATGGCCGTTGCCTCAGTGTTTAGAGCACCGGTTGGAAATGCGCAATGTGGTATGAGGTTGCGGGTTCAAAACTCCGTTGCCTTGCGCCCGCGCACCACCCAAGGAGTTTAGTCCATGGTTGCCGTATGCTGGTGGCGGGGCCTTGGGGGGAGGGCTGTTTGAGTGCTTGGCCTTGGGGTGGTCTGACAAGGGTGGGTGTGAGTATGTGTGTGTGTTGTTTTAAAAGACCCCAGATTCTGTGTGTGTGTGGGTTGTATGTAGGGTGTTGTCCAATGATCTCTGGGTCATGTCTCGTGTACTCACCATGGGCAGGGTAGAAGAGGTAGTTGGGTAGAGGTCTTAGGTCTAGATTAGGTTAGTTAGGAATGTGCAGAGATTGTGGGCCTATCTGTGTGAGCCGCCTCGTCCGTATGCACTGCTCTGTGGGTGTGTCTGGGTACTGTAGTAGTTTCCCGGCCTCATGGTACACCCGCGAGAGTCAATACTTCCATTGTACGATTCTGTTCCCGGTCTGGCTCCGCTCTCTACACGCCCCTTGAGTAGCAGTAAGGGTTGGGTGGTAGGCATCTATGATTCCAAGGGCGGGCCTCATGTCCCTCTTACGATGCTTGCAGGCTGCGCTTCAACCAGGCTGGTACCTGTCTGTGTTCCCATCGAGGGGGTCGATTGCAGAGTGAATCTGGGGAAGGGTCTCTGGGAGGGGGTCTCATCTTCGGCAAGGGAGGGTGGGTCGAGGGTGGGTCATGGCATTAATAGTAGAAGGGTGGTAGACACCCATAGAGTCTGCTAAATGCGATACAGGTGGGGAATGACCACACATCCATGACCCCTCCTGTGTCCGGGGGTCATCCTCCGGAATTCAGGGTGTCCAGAATTCGGGGTGTCCCTATGGTAGCACCCGGGGGAACTCGTCTGAGACCCTAGGTGTAGATCTAGGTCTAGAGACAGGTCTGGGTCGCACAAAAACGAGTTCACAAATGATGGCCCCTTGTAGAAGACTGTCCTTCGGGCTGTCACAAGCCATCTGATCTCCCCACTGGCCAAGTACAACGACAGGCACCTCCCGAGGTCCAGCATCCAGCCAGCCTCTACTACGATCTGGACTTAGAAAAAAAAAGAAAAAAAACGGGAGAGTGGCATATTCACAATCTAGTGAAAGACGCAACTCACTCTCCGAGTGGCAAAGGAATACCGGAAGAAACTTCGATCCCGCTTTGCATCCCTTCTAGACTGGAGCAGTGGACCAACCTAAGAGTTCTCTTGCCCCCCATATAATTTTATTCACCTCCTGCCTGTCCATCTCTTGATCCTCTACCATACCCCTCTGCATTATTGGATCTCACTGTGATTGAACTCTTCATCTGTGTAGCACGCGCCCCATGTACTTAACCTTTACCCATTACACCACCCATTGCACCAACAACCACAACGTCGTTTTCTTCGGCGGCCAAGGTTAATCACTCCTCAGTATCTATCCTCTGCTGTTTCTCGGCCACTCCTCTCCGCATTATTGTATCCCACAGTGATTTGAACTCCTTATCTGTTTATCAAGAGTTACACGTGTATGCAGTTCACCCAGTAGCTACGGTCTTCCCACAAAGAAAGCATTAATGACAGGACAGCGAGGACGTTCTATTCGGGGAAAGACGGTCGGATCCGCTCCTCTATGCAGAGGCTCCTCTATGCGCACGGCTGCATGTCTCCGCATCATTTACAAAATGGCTGCCAGCCTGCCCTTGCCTTGTGCCCTCTTCCCTTGCCTGCCTCTTGCCTTGCTTTGCCGCCTGCCTGCCCTTATCTTACCTGCTTGCCTTGCTGCCTACCTTGCTGCAAACGTCGGCCTACCTGTCCTGTGTCCATTCCACTGCCTACCTGTCCACTGCTCACCCCTCAGTTAACAGTTCCGAGTAATGGCTAGAACCCACTGGCAAGGTCGGTCAACGCAGGTTATGACCCAAGACACCCACACGAAATCCCGCATACCCCCAAGCATTCCGAGTCTCCGACCCCTCATCAGTCGGGTGTCAGTCCAACAAATCAGTCTATCACTATCACTGTTTTAATTTTTCTGTCTTCAGGCGTCCTCCATTCGTGTATGCTCTGGGTACCTAACATTGCTCAGGTCACGTGCTCGAGACCGCAGTACGCTGGAATATCATTGGAGCGCATCGTTTGCAATCCTACGTCGACAGACTCGACACAATTCCGAAGTTGAGCGAGCGAGAGAGAGAGAGAGAGAGAGAGAGAGAGAGAGAGAGCTACGGTGTACCTGAGACTACATTTAGTGCCACAGTCTGTGCCTGAAGCTCACACACACACACACACACAC